CAAGAGAGGACTGGCGAACGATAGAAACACTACTCTATTCAACTATCTATGAATTTTTCCTGCGAATTTGTTGCTAAGTGTCTGCCACTGATCCACCCACTCCCCAGTACTCTCTTGATGGAACTTTGAGCTATTTCCAACTCTTGCCTTAAACTAAGTATGGGTTTGTACAACTGTCAAAGTCAAATTTTCAAGAAGAAATGAAAAAAGAAAGCAAGGTAAACAACTAAACAAATGGTCCCAAAAATAGCTTCCAAAAAGGTCCAAAAATATAGTTCACTAATAAGGAAGTACACAAGCCTGAACAGGAAGTATGATAAAAGATTAGGAAATGGTGTTTCGAACACCAGATCAACCAAACAACTGCATTCCAGATCTCACTGTGAATTATTTATAATTAAACAAGCTTTGTCCCAACTCTTCATAAACTTAAATAATAATCTGATAAAAAACAACCCAGATCCAGTATGAACTAGAAACATTCTCACAAACGGATTTTTTTACAGGTCATTGGAAATACTTGGAGAGGGTTTCAGCTCCATAATTACGCACCAACTAACTTTATACGCTGTTGCAGTCTTTGATGTGGTAGGTAATAGTGCTTTATGATTTAACCCATTCACAATACCAGAGACTTTAACCAACTAACTATGGACCCCTCTACCTTAACGGCGTCAACGTCGTAATTGGTTGAGGCACTATGGGCGAGGGAAAGAAAAAGCGCAGAACAGGAAGAAATGTGGTGCAACAAAATTTCTTTCTTTATTTATTTCTTGCATAATGGAAGCAACAGTTGCATGGCGATAAAGGCAGAAAACAGCTTCCACTCCAGGACCGAAACAGACTGACCGCGCTGCCTCGCTCACTACGTCACCTTAACGCCTATTCTGAAGCAGCCTTTCTAGCTGCAAAAAAGTTCAAAATCCGTCACCCGGACCACAATTTGCTGGAAACACGTCCCCCATCAAGTCACTTTGTGCAGTCTCCCAAATATTCAAATAAGTCTAACACTTCGCAGCAGTATTGGTTAGCTTTTTCAAATCACACCTCAGGGTTACTTTACTTCATCCAATTTCTATTTTACTTTTATTTCCTATCATCCCTCTCACTGCACTGCACTCCGAGAGTTACCAGTGTGTCATCGGTCCGGTGGCATTATTTCATTATTTTTTCTGACCTTCAATTCCTCTCTTCAATGCCGCTCACGCTACTGCCACGTTTGCAAAGCACATCGCAACCGGACTCCAGAAATCGACGGAATTTTTATGCCGGCAACGTCCCAAAAGAACTCTAAAGCTTTCATAATTATTTCCGTTTTCAGGTACAATTTAAAATCAGAATTTCCGGAATAGAAATTTGAGCATTGAGTTTGCTGTATTTTTGATCCCTTATAATTCCTTTACTATCTAAATAACTTCTTTGGCTTAAAGACCCACATTCCTCTTTAACTAAGCCTAAAAAGTGAAAGAAAGTTCCACATTATAAAACCTGAAGATCCCGTAGATTACTTTCTAGGCGAAAGCTGTCTTTTTGCGGATGACAAAAACCAGAAGTCAGAGAATCAGAAATAGCTCAATCTTAAAAAATGACAGGTGAAACTCACATCCAAAATGGGCCGTTTCCCAATATACCTCAATTTAAGTTCTCCCCAAAAACTTAAAATAATACTTGATAAACAAATGCAAAAAATACTCCTCATTACTAATAATACCTAACAATAAAAGTTTGGGAACAAGAAAAGCACATAAGCCGTCTCCATCTATTTTCCTGATGAAAATTTGCAAATGTTCTCTTAAAACAGTACTTATATCTAGGTCAAACTTGGGCACAGTAGCGAGGAAATTTCAATTAAGCATGCCACGGCTAATTTTTTTCTATTGCGCTCAAGGACTGAGAATTTTGTTTTTTACAGTACTCAGTGCAGCAATTTTGCCTACGTTCATTTTAATCTGCATCATAAGCAGCTTTTCGCTTACACAAGTGTCTGAAAACGCAACTTCTAGATCTAACGGGCTCAAAAACTGATTGAACGAACAGCTTTTTCCTCGTGCGCTTTCGTCATATGGAGTTCTTTGATGCCTTGTCGTGTGAGTCTTCACCCACTAACAATGTAACTCCCTCTTTCCATTCTCAAGCGAACCAACCCCGCAGAACTACGGAGCTCAAGCACTCCAAGCACCCCAAGCGCTCGGCTGAGGGAAAACCATCCCTGCACCAAACGTCAACACCACCCAACGAACCCTCACAGTCATACTTCCCAACGAAACTACCAACAATGAAGCCATCCCAACTTTTCATCAAGGCTGCTTGCAGGTCACAACCGCCATGGCTGTTCTCTTGTGCCGAGCACTGATAACTTTTAACAAGAAATTAGTGCGTGCTCACTGGTTTTTCGATTTTGCTTCTCTAACATTTAACTCGTTGGTGCTCATCACATACTTGGTCGTACTCAGCAACGAAGGCCGAGGAAACTGGGACACTGTCAATATCACCTTTATTGTTTGCTTCGCTGCGCAAATCCCGCTACAGCTTTGGGCAATCTCAGTCGTTAAATCATGTTACAATTTCTTCAATCTGCTTCACGTTTTCATAAGACTAGCAGAAAAATAAAGTGTTCTATGGAAGAACAGATGTTCATCAAGAGCAAGAAAACTGCCGTAAAAACGAGTGCTAAACAGTCATCAATAAATGACACGAAAGATGTTACTTGAAGACTAACTTCCAAGGCAGTTAAGCAGTGGAAAAGCAATGGAACAGTGAATAATAATAATAATAATGAAAAAAAAAGAGGTATTTTGAACAAACTATACTGCAAACAGTTTTTTTAGTGGCAAAGATTACAAAAGTTCTAACCAAATGATAAAGTTGTGATATCAATCAGAACGTGGTGAAACACTAGCCGCTTCAATAATTTTACAAGAGGGCCTCACCAAAACTCATTCCATAATGCAACACATAACTCTACATAAAAATTTAAGTTCAGATCAGCTTCGAAACACGTATTATGCCTTCTAAGAATCTCGCCCTTTCACGATTTAGTATTAAAGCCAACAAATGAAAAGATAATATGTTGTACTACAGCAAGAGACACAGACAATAACTGTCAAAATACCAAACAGTAAATGAAAGAAAAGGAAGTGATTGACTTTTCGTTTATTTTTTAAGAGCCAAAGAAAACAACATCAACCTTGAACCTCTCAAACTGATCAAACCATCAAACAATCTTATGCTCCTGGTACGGCCTGTGGCTGAATTCATAGTCACAATGCACGAACGCCCGCTCTACTTGCGGCAAACTTTCAATATTATTCTGGAGAGCCTCGCTTATATCGTGAGACTCTCTAAGTCTCATTTCAGGATCCATTACAATGTGAACTTCTACTAAGTAACGGGTTCCGTAGTGGTACACGTAGACTGTATCTATATAATCAATATGCGAACTATGCATCATGCAAACCTAAAACACAGTTTTGCCTACACTTTTATCTCAAAATCTGTGAACAGCAATAAAGCAGAAAAACGAAATAAACCCAAGTAAAATATGTCTAGCAGATATTTAACCCAAGAGAAGTGAGGATTGCTGTAGTAATTAAGAAAGACTAACCAAAAAAGTACAAAACTACTAACCATGACTATCCGATTAATAAAGTCAGGCGCTGCAGACTTTCCAGACAGCATCGTTAGGTGTTCCTTCCCAGTCATAAACCATGTAATTGCAATATACAGTGAAACTAATATGGCCCCTATGGGGTCCAGATAGATCCAATACTTTGATGCCCCCCAGGCACAAAACTAAAATCCATAGATAAACTAACGGGCAAATCTAATTCTCAAAAGCACATATATAGCATTCAAGAAATTACCAATGCAGCTAAATTTGACAGGCAATCATTCCGATGGTCTTGTGCTAACACACTAATAGAAGCATTACTGTCGAACCTGTAAAGTGACTAAAAATCCCTAAAGCCAAAAAATATTCGTATAAAAGCACCTAACAGCCAATTTTCGTGCTTCGACGGCAACGAGGTTTCAACACTGCGGAAAAACCAATACAAACAAACTCAATAACCCACTGAAAAAACCTCACTTTTTACACAAGATCATCAACACAAATTTCACCGCAACTGTTGTGGTCATGATACAGAGCGTAGCTATATCCATGTGAGGGTCCATAGTGTTCTTGACAATAGACTCTAACGATTGAGCTGTCATCTGAATTGAGGCAACACCCATAATAACGCTTACTATAATCTGAAACAATCAGCAGTCTTAAAAGCAATCTCAACGGAGACATTAAACAGTGATTTACAACCATCCTCACCTTAAGTCCTACTAGATGTTTTTGACTCTTAAGGTGCAATTTTGTAATAAATTTCGTTACCTGACTGCAGAAGAAACTCATATTCAGCTCCGAATTTTTTTCACAGTCACCTGTCTATCACTAAATTAAAACAACCCGTTATGCTATAAGAATAAAAGTACTCAAAAATTATTTTGAGGTAAATGATATCAAAAGCTGCTAACAAGTGCAATAGGCTCCAGTCTCGTTCTACCTCTTGGATACATATAAGGGTCATGCTTCTTGATGGCACGAGCAGTTAGCCATATTACCAAGCCAGACGCAATGTCAACGGCTGAATCAACCAGTGAGGAAATAATAGAAAGAGAGCTGCTTAAATAAGATGCAGCAGCCTAAAACTGCTACCCATTAAAGTAAATTTGGAAGGTGACGCACCACAACACGTACAGTGATTTCTTCAGAAGCCAACCTTAGCAACAACTAATGAGATGTTCACAATTAGCGTCGTCATTGCAAGCCATTTAGCAGCTTTTCGCATCCCAAAAAGTCCTCTACCAACGTCGTTTACGTCGTCCCTGCAACAAAAATGCCATCTAACCTTGCGATTAAGTACTTATAAGTCAATAATGTTTAACCCATGAAGCAATTACACCACTTTGATATCTGCTGCACTTTCAACTTTGAAAGTAGTACTTACTTGTCGGCAGAATAGTACTCTAGTAACTTCCTGTACCTTACCAAAATTCAGAGAATACAATTTGGGATGAACTCCATCTGGCATATTAAACCATATTTCAAATTGATTAAACGACTCTTACGGCAACGATAGTCTTCTTTTCCTCTCTAAAAAAATTACAAAAACCCTTCTTCCCCAACTTAAAGCGTATTTCTCAATGCACAAGAGGGTAATTCAGTAGGAATGCGCCTACACTGAGGAGAATCTAACTAAAACCTAGCGTGGAAAGGAGGACATAATCTGAATATACAGCAACTATCACCTGTACAACCAAGATGTGTCTGAAAATATAAAACTTAAAACCAGAGAAAATTTTAAAGATTTGAAAAATATCTTCAAGAACAATTATGCCCTTTGTAACAACCATAAGCACACGCCTTGTCGCACTTTCAAAATCGATATATTAGGTGACTTACTAATGTACTGGTACACTATCAGCTGTAATGCTACACCATAATATCAAATACTTCTTAAAGAACATTAAAATACTTTATTCTCAAAAACCTCTAAAGGAAGCCTCCTGAGAAAATAAACTCCGCTAATTTTCAAAAAAGTTAGTGAACTTATTCAAAAACATTTTTCTTCTTGCGCATAACAAAACTGCGAGCATCTACCGATGGAACTCCTGAATCGCAGAGAATTGTCAAATAAAAGCCCAAATGCTCAAAACGAAATTTAAATTTGTTCAACGCCAAGTAACAAGAAAACTACTGCTGATGACTACGCAAGGAGATGAAAAAAATAACTCTGACTCAAACTTCTTCTTACAAGGTTACTGCCTTCGAAACGACCCCTATTCACACTTCAGTGCTACGTTAAGCCCGAAGTAAATTCTATTAAATGTGATAAACACCTTCAGAGAAGACCCAATTTTGCCAATGTTCTAAAAATACAAACAACTTTTTTGTAAAATTCCTGGCCCTATAAAAACTCTGAAGGTTGGAGCAGTTTTATTTGCTAACAAAAATATTAAAAACTGAAAATAAATCGTGATTCCCAAGAAGGGAGCCTAAAGAGGACAGAAGATGGGTAACAACCTTAACACCTAATTATCCAGGTTCTCTGCAGGTCAATAACACAGTTTTGCCAAACGTTATAGAAAAGAGAGGACCACTTACTCTTAGTCCAACAACGTGGGCAAATTCCCTCAAATTCCCCCATCAGCTTTCCATTTCGAGATAACAGATAGATGCCGTAAAAAACAAATAGCTTTTTGCAAAACTGTACCGTACAATTCTGTTATTACACCACCAAAAAGACAACAAGTTCTTTTTCGGATGAAAATTCCAGCTGCAGAAACATTTGGGTACTTTTATTGAGGCACAGTGCCGACTTTTTCCGCTTACCATACAGAAACCACTTTTTATTACACCTAACAACATAGTCAATAAAAGAACAATCTTGATAAGAATCCAACAAGTATGCATAAATGATTCCTTTCTTTATACTTCGGTTTTCTGTCAGTTCAGGTGATAACCGCTGATATAAATTTTTTATTCTGCCACTTCCCTTTTGGTGCCTGATAACTGTACCCCTGTATTTGTTTCCTGTTTGTTCGCCTCCCCTCCCCTTTCCGCCCCC